TTGTTAAACTAGTTAACATTATCTTCGACTTTAAAGATAAGGTATTTCTTTGTTAGGTTGATATAGCAGAATTCACAGAAACGTCACTCTTTTAGATTCAAGATTGCAGTTACGCCCCGTAGCGGCCATTTAAGAAACTTGAAAATATTTTCCAGGTTTTTCTCTTGGCCGTTTTAGTAATAACTATCTTTGCCACAAGCCTCTACGATGGATATGTTCGCAGATACAGTACCTCGCATTCTTAGTTGCCCCCCTGTACATCCAAGTATCGAAAAAATCCTATCTGTTCTAAACATTAAACATTTATCCGTGTACAATGCATAGATGAGCACAGCGGCTTAAAACAGGTTTCAGTACAGCAGATGATATATCAGATATATAGCGACACTTATAAGGAATTCTTTATATTCAGAGTTAAGTCCACAGACGTTTAGATGGTAGACGATATAACTATTTTCTGATAAAGTGAAAGCCATCCTTGATAGAATAACTACGAAACTCATTATGATAGCTAGGATAATTTAGCTCACCGAAAATGCCCTTTGTAAAGTAGCAAGGGCAACTTAGCATCCCAAGCTGCATGCGGTGTGTCGTAGTTAGTATTCTTATCACCAGTGTTTTGACTCAGTTGGAATTTTTCAGTGGCTTCCACCACATCAAGGAATGAGGCTGATGCTTACATTGACTAGATTGATGACAGAAATTTTTGTAATTGAAACAATGCTTGGCAGTAATTTCATCTTAAACATCACAGACATCATACCCACTACTAATAATATTTATAATTGTTAGTAGACATAACCTTATAATAAGTGCCATACTCTAGTTGGAGTACAGCTTGGAATATATCAACTGGTTTTCTAATTGGTTTAACTCGTAAAATTTTTAACTGGAAGTTATCACTTAATGCATCTTTACTCTGAGATTTAGTATATATATTATACTAAGTGACATGGAAAATGCAACACCGACTAGAAGTGCTGTAATTTGGAGCACACTTTTACAAACTTTAGGTCTACCGATAAGTAGAAAATTATTAAAATTTGAACTCGAAATTCCGCAAAATCGCTGAGATATCTTAATGTCATTCTCATATACATAATATTTTCTTTAGGGCGCAGTTAAAAAATTTAAGTGATTGAAAAAAGACAGATTTTCAAGTTAAAAATATTTTTATGCCTAAACTGTTACTATATGTGAGGGGTAAGTACCAACATGTACTAGTTACCTCTAGAGTGATACCAGGGAGTAGGAGAAGGCTTACAACCTCTAGTGGGAGAACAAACACAATAATCTGTGACGTACTCTCCGACCCTAGCGTCAAAATATTTTGTGTGGTGTCTGTGCATCCATCGGTCGGTGATTATCTACCACCTATACACACAATTGTAACATTCATAGCGATATAAAACTCTTCTCGTACAAGGTAGATATTTTTGTTCTCGATAACGCTCGGTATTTTCAGATTGTTAGAAAGAGATAGACGCCGGCTGGATAGCGAAGTTCATCGCCACGTTGCTTAACAACGCTGCCGCGGCAATCTGTTACACCAGCTCCTTGAATCAAAATATGCGTTAGTTTATTCTTTACGCCCGAATACTGGTTTTATTTTGAGCATACACGTTTTTAAATTGTTTCTAATCTGTTTAGGATCGATTCCGGATTGGTCCTAACGGCGCTCCATATTAGATCGAAATGAAAGGTTAGGATCGCCACAAATTCTGCAATATTACATGATTGGTCCGTTTGACAACACCGCATCTTGTAGATTCCAAGGCAAGATGTCTACGTCCATGATCATAGTTGGGCGATTTTGGTCAGTATCCTTCTATCGTTTGTATCGTTATTTGTTACATTTTGCGACAGCGCTGCGGTTAGGATCTATCGGTGGAAATCAAATCAAAGAAATGAAAGCACTAAGTTTTTTATGCTCAACACTAGTAAATGAATGGGCAATAACTAAAAATATCTGTACTACTCAGCTCTCAGAAACTGCTTTCTTCACAAAAACTAAGAGATAACAAAGGTAAACATAAACAAAGATAAAACGTTGACATTGTTGCTTCAGCATGCCTGAACTATGTTGCCAAAAAAGAATTTGACGAAGTGATTTTTTCTGGGTGTAACACTTCTAATGACACTGAGTGTAATTAATAAAGTTTGACAAATGTTGGTAACTTTCTCTTGGGTGGTGGCCCACCTTATATAAGCAGTCACAGCTATAGCCTTTGCTACACTACATGCACTAGTGCTCAAAAGAGAGATATATACTGCTGCTAATTTCAAATAAAAATAGACACATGTTGGCTCTGAACCATTTAGGCAGGCTTTTCCAGGTATTAATATAAATCCATTATATAGTAAAATATTTCAGAACTTTTGGTCCCGTTTCTTTGAACTGCACCTCAAAACTCGTTTTTTCAGAAAAACGGCTGGTGTAGCAAAGCTAGGATTTTATCCGAATTTGCCCTTTTGACAATATTTTTATTGCTTTAATCATCAACTCCATTATATGCCTGCGGGTACCTACGTAGCTGGGTAATTTCCTGAAGGTGATAATTTCTTGACACCACAACTTACAGATGTTGACTGTACTATAATAGGTGCTTCTTCCCTGAAACCGACGCTACGCACATCACTTTTTTCTTGGAACGGACCAATCAGCAAGCAGCGTTTCAATTGTTTTTCCGTCCGACCAATGGTGTAAAGTTTTCCTCTTACACAGTGCAAGAAGTTGGTTTCGGCAGCCATAGATTCCAAACAGGAATTAATACGTTATTCGAGCAAAAATCGGTAATAAATCAATACCAATTCGCTTTTACAATTGGTATAGATCGCTTAAAACGTGTATATCTAGTATCGGTAGTTTTTTCGTTGAGGAGTTCTGCAGTTGCGGGCGCGCGTTTCGTGATAAACTGTTGTGAAAGAACTCTTTTGCTTCAGAGGTGCAGTGATGTAAATTGGTGAGTTTTCAGTATTTATCTGCAATTAATCGAATATACTAAACTTATACTTGTGCCGTATCGCAATGATCGCAGGGGTATTATGTAAAAAAAATAAAAAAAAAACTGAGAAAATCTCGTCTTGCAGACTAGATAGTTTTTAGCGTGCAAATAGTTCATTCCACGTTTGCTCGCTATGATAGCTGTTCGCTGACGTTTAACATTATGTAACAAAAAACCTACGAATGCAAAAAAAACCCGACGAAATGTCAATTTTCAAGATGCGTAATACCCGTGCGGGGTCCCCAACTTATAGAAGCCCCGTACGGGTACCATGTAAAAATCCTATAAAACCTATTAGATGTCAACTTGCAGAGTAGGTAGTTTTTAGGGCGCAAACAGTCATTCCACGTTTGCTCACTAGGATCGTTGTGAACGTCCATCTATGGAGGAATCACTCAACTAAACTACACGAATTACTGGCTGCATAGTTTTATGAGGCTGAGTGTCCGTATCTGTAGTTTTTATCTCTGAGAAGAAAGTTGGTCGAATAGCAAGATCGCACCTGGATGATTATATGTATTGGCCTCCATGTGTATAAAATCAGTGATATTTGCTGTGTGAGAAAATCATCACTGAATATGCTGAATATGACGGGTTATTTATACGTTGTGCTTTCTGAATAGAGGTTATGTTCAAAGTTATAAATTACGAAAAACTGAGGAGAATTACGGGAAATCATCACCGCGTCCGCGTTGTATGTAATTACTGTTAGCATGTATATGGCTTGCACTTTGACAGTGATAGTATAATTATTTCTGATCTCTCTCATTTTTGAAATTCAGCAAATTTGTATATGTATTTTCCAGAATGTATAAGAAAAAGTGTCTGCGCAACTAATTTCTTCTAGCTTTGAATCTCGTTTAAGTGTATTTGAGACAAGAATCCAATGGAATTATCATACATACAACTTACAGGTTAGACATCCAGTAATGCCATCTCTGCAGCAGATTTTGCATAACATCAGAGCCAAACATTGATAACTAAAGTCTCATATGACGTTTAGACAACACGTAGAACTAAGTGCTAAGTTAATACACCTATCTTATAGAAAAACGTTCATAATGTCAAAAAAAAAACAAGTATAATGTCCAAAAAGATCGGCATAATGTTACTTTTCAAGATAGGTGTTACCCGTGCTGAGGTGTGGAAGAAAAAATGCTTAAACCGTCACCCACCTTGGTGGCCACTTGACATCAAACCGAGAAATTAAACGTCCCGGAAATATTGTTCGCAAAAAATTCATTTCCTAGCTACGTGACAGTAAGAGTCATTGCAGCGTCTTCAAAGAAGTAAGGTCCAATGACAACTCAATACCAACCTCCGCATCAAACTGTGATTCGACGAGCACGTAGTGGTCGTTGATGGATGACACGAGGTTTCTCTAATGCCCAAATACGACAATTCTGCTTATTAACTAATCTGTTCATATCGCTCATTATCAGTTGTCGGTAAAAATCGTTATTTTGGATATTAACCTGCAATATTGCATGATTGTATTGTCGGCGACTTTCATGATCGCTAGGCTGCAGTTCTTGGGTTAACCGAATAGAAATACTCAGTTCTTGAGAACGATGTCTGGTAGACGTCTCAGGGCGCTCCACTACACTTTCACGAACTCTCGATATTTTCCGGAGTATGAACAGTTGGAACGCGACCCGACCTTGGCAAGTCGTAAACTTCACCACATATAAGCCAAAAATTATTGAAATCGGATAAACATACGTATGTGTTTACCTTTTTTTGTCACTTCGGTAGCAAACTTGAGCATTTCACCAAGTATGATTTTTTGGGTACTTTAGCAATTATGGTAGTGAGACTGAGGGAACGATAGTTTTTGTATTGTACTCATCACCTTTTTTGGCGAATGAGAACTTATTGACAGTTGTAAACAGAGAATCTGGCACGTAGTTTTACGGGATTCTGCGTCTTACCAACTTGGTAATTTTGGTATTTGGATATCAAATAGCGCTTTCAGGTCTGACAAGAAAAAAGCAGTGTCATATGTACGAATTTTATTTTCGTGAATTTATGACTACACTGATGATAAGGAATAATATACATAATAATTTAAGCCCCACTCCATGAGCGCATAGGGCTATTCAGACTTAAAAGTACAGTACACTTTACATAACTATCATAAAACATAAAAACAATGAAAAAAACATCAATACATTTTTAATGCTATTTTTTCGAAAATAAAATAAATAAAGGCTCATCTTTCCAGGTTACAACGAAATGTCTATACATGATAAATAATTTTTTTTGAGTGCCCGTGCAATTAAATATAATCGTGACACTGAAAACTTGAATTTTAAAATCGACCATAACTGACTAGAAAATATTAATTAGCCAATAAAAAATTTCAATTTGTGCATATTGCAAAATAACGCCCATTTTTGAGGGTATATTAAAAAAATAATGAGCAAATGAATTAAATTCATATAGTCCACAAAAACTTATAAACATAAACCTATAATAGCTTCATTCGCGTTTCTTAATTACCAATAGCCAATCGATGAAGCCACGAAAACGTTCTTTGTAGAATCCCAATGATTATATGTATAGATATATCCAAATATATAAATATTGCGCGTAACCTAGCCTTCTAACACACATCCACGTGAACAACAAAAAATTACCAGTGACGACCAAAAGTCCACAACACATCATTTTTCACGCATCACATACGAACGACAACATATTGCAAAATCCTTTAGGCACTGCCATGAGGTAAAACGTTGGTTTCTAACAGTCTTATCACAGAACAAAGAAATTAAACCTTTATACGACACTCGATATTTATAAAAAAATAATATTAAACGCAAAATATATAAAGCTTAAAAAATAGTACGACGATTAAGTGCTACGAGGGCATGTTTGATAAGTGACTTTTTGAATTTCCCGCGCAGTAACTTTGAATGCAACGCTGCTGCCGTCAACTGCCATCTTTTATATGACAACTGTTAAAAATTGAACCGCGTTTGCTCACAGTCGATCATAAGCGCAACCGTGTGACCATTTCAAGGGAATGTTCGGCGATGTTCAGCCGCAACCCGAACGAATTTTTGCGCCGTTTTGTAACTGTAGACGAAACACGGATTCATCACATTACACCAGAAACCAAAGAACGATCAAGACAGTGGGTTTCACATGGTGAGCGTGCTCCAAAGAAGGCCAAGATGGGTCTGTCAGCCAGCAACGTTATGGCCACAGTTTTCTGGGACGCATCCGGTATCATTTACATCGATTGCCTTGAGAAGGGCAGAACGATCACGGGAGAGTACTATTCACAGATTCAACGTTGCTTTGAAGCAAAAACGACCGCATTTGGCGAAAAAAAAATGCTGCCCCGTCAAGATAACGCACGGGTACACACGTGTGTAGTCTCGACGGCAAAAATTCATGAACTGGGCTACGAACTGCTGCCCCATCCAGCTAATTCTCCAGATTTAGCCCCCAGCGACTACTTCCTATTTCCAAACCTGAATAAATGGCTGGGTGGTAAGAAATTTGGGTCTAATGAACAGGTCATCATTGAAACAAAAGCATATTTTGGGAGCCTTGATAAAAACTATTCCGGAGGAATTAAGAAATTGGAAAAACGCTGGACCAAATGTATCGAGTTACAAGGAGATTATGTTGAGAAATAAAATGCTTATTTGCCGAAAAACATTTTTTTTATTGTCAATGACTTATCAAACAGCCCTTGTATTGTAGCTAAAAGAACACTTCTCAGGGATTTTTTCAATCAGTGGTATTATTGTCCGCCATTATCAAGAAAATGAGAAAATTGTAGCACTAAGTTTACTCTTACTGAAAACTATTCTTGACAACCTTATTATTGGATCGTCTAGGCAAGATGTCTATTTACCCTTAAGTAAAAAATTGAAACAAGTGATGTAAATGTATACTAAAATGTCCCTCTTAGTGTACTTTGAGCTAGGATGCCGATAAATATTGTGATTTAGTTGTGAGTTAGGATGCTTTGGCGTATTGTATGACGGAGCTATAGCGCACCGGCGATAGGTCGATGGTGGCTTCCATGGACTTGAGGATCATGCGCGACCTCTTGCGGGGAGGTAGGCTCAGTTCTGGGTCGGGCACGGGGGAAACGGGCGGCGACGCTGACGGTGCGGGCGAGACGGGATTCGAACTAGGCGGAGTTATCATCGGCTCCTCCTCTGAATGCCCACTTTCCACCTGAAACAAAGAAAAAACAATTAATAATAATAATGATTAACGTCTTTTTTATTTGTAATAATATTACAGGAGGCGAGATTTAGATACTATATACTTAGCAATAAGAGATGTATAAAAACTGAAAATTAAAACCTGTATATAATAACGACAAATAAAGTATAATCAATGAAAAGAAAAACGTAAGGTCAGTTAACACTTATGGGTTACAACAGATTTATCAAGTAGAATTTATTTCACTTTTTACTTGAATTTAGGTAATGAATTAGTTCCTTTTAACTACGGTCTAAAGAATTATATAATTTGTTCGAATTGTAAATATACAGGGTGGGCAATATACAACTGACCGATTTAAATTGCGCGCCATTTTTGGTACACGTGTTTCAGTAGGTGGTGCCGTAGTAGTTGTTTAAAGCACATGTGTGTTCAATTCATCATGGAGCGCTGCACGATCCCACAACGCGTGCGTATTGTTAAAACGTTTTACTTAAATAACGAGTCGATTATTGCAACGATTCGGAAGCTACGACAAGATTTCGGTATAAATATTTAGCCGTATTCATAAAAGAGAAGCAGATCCTCGGAAGCATACGGTAAAAAAGTATAAGGTCTTGCTTCGGAGAAAAATGTAGAAGTATAAGCATATCCTTGTTTTCATATTCATAATGTTTACCTTATACTCGCGAGGATATCCTCCAAGAAGAAGTAAAAGGTTGACTGGTATTTGTATCTTGAGCGACATGTCCTGACTTGTTCCAGCTTGTAGTTGACGTGGGAGTTCGTTCACTCAGCATCACTGACAGTTGTACTCCAGAGCTTACACAGACCGTTCCGTATTTTTACTGGATACAGTTTTTTATGAAATTAATAAGCATGTCATCCTCAAGTGATGAGGAAACTATCGCAGATGAAATTGCCATTGCTCCCATTATTTTGCAAATGTCACAAGTTCCAATAAATATAATTGAGAAAGGACGATGCCTTGAAGATGTTGAAAAAATACGAACATTCGGTAAACCATTAGATTATTAAAAAAATCAACAACATAAAATCAAGATTGATGACTCCATATTTCTGACTTGGGTGATGATTGTACAAAGCGTGCAGGTATCTGTCTGTGTGTGTTGGAACGAGAATCAAGGAGCACAAAGCAAATTGCCGGCTAGGACAAACTGCGGTAGCTGAACATGCCCTAAGCAATGGGGCCACAGGGATACACTTTGGGCGCTGCAGGTTGCTGTCATCAGTCAACGGCTATTACAATAGACTGGTCTAGACTGGTCGTGCTAGCGAAACGTTAGGAAGAAATTCCAACCGACGTCGGCCCGACCCGAATCAAGACAGTCTATGTAATCTTATTAATTTGCTTATATATGGATCATGAAGGTCAGTAGTCATACTCCAGTGGTCTCTGTAACTTGGACATTTTTTTATGCCGAAAAGAAGATTTATGCCTAAAAATGTTTTGATTTCTGTAATATCTGTTTTCTTGTACCTTTGTATCGCTGCTCTGCGTATAGATTTGTTTGAAAAACAATGTGATTTTAAATATATAGTGAAAAGCAAATTGAACGCTGAACCAACTCCTACTACAAATAGATTTAGTACATTTAAAACAGTTCAAATAAAGGAACTAAGAAATGCAGTTAACAATTTAAAAAATAAAAATAGCAGTGTTGACTGAATGAATTCCAAAATCTTGAAATTATATATATATATATATGTATATATATAACAACAAGTAGCAAAATAATGGGCAAAATCCGCAAAAAGGAGGAAAGTGGATTCGAGCAGAAAATAGGATAGGTAACCCGAGCGATACGTATTTCTGCTGGTTGGCTTCATCAGGCCCGAAATGAATGCAAATATGAAACTACAAAAGTAGATACACATGCCCACACATCCGGATACGGGTGTAACCTGAGGAAACGAAGTTGGAGGGGAAAAAAAAAACGACACACGATAGAAAAATATGGCTTTGAAGGCAACGTTTTAAGATGGTTCTCAGGATACTTGGAACAAAGAACTCAGCGAACAAAGTACAAAAACTCCTTATCTTGTGTAAAAGAAAATAGAAATGGTGTGCCTCACGGAACAGTGTTGGGTCCTGATCTATTCGTGCTGTATATAAATGATATTGTAAAGGTTGTAAAAAATTTTAAAATTGCAGACGATACAATTTTGTTCATGGAATGTGTCAACATAGACAATTTGGTTAGAACGATCAATGAAGACTTTATATGCCTGGTAAGGGAACAATAGTCTTAGTATTAATGTTGACAAGACTAAGTGTACGATACATGAAATCTAAATTTAATGTTCAGGATGCTTATCTGCACGACGGATTTATAATTGAAAATAATAAGATTAAACAGATTAACAAGTATAAATATTTAGGAGTTATGATAGACTCAAATTTAACATCTAATAGCCATGCAGATTAGATTATAAAAAAAGTTTCTAAAAAAGTTAATTTAATGTGTAGGGTAACAAAGGACCTTAGTTCATGGACGTCACTACTTATTATAACACAATAGTCATGCCTCACTTTAACTACTGTTCCTCCATATTATATATGTTTCAGAAAGGTAATATAGATTCACTACAGAGAAAACAAAATCAGGCTCTTGGATGTATATTAAGATGTGATAGATACACAAGAATTAAAGTCCAAACTAATTTATCAAGTATCAAAAATAAAATATATTTTACAATACAATGATAGTCATCTACAAAATAAAGAATGGAATGTGTCCCAAACACATATTGGAAGGTTTGCAATTTGTCTGTGATATTCATAGATACAATACAAGGAATATGTTTGATTTTTATGTTCCTGCTGTGGGGTCTGCTTTTGCGCAAAATAGTTTATTTCATAAAGGCCTTATAGAATTTAATAATTTACCAGCTGAAATCAAATCTACGAATGTTGTCAAATTCAAAAGACAATTGAGAATTTATATAGAAAATAGTGTTAGTTTTAGATAATAGCATTATATGTTATATTGTATTGTTTAACTTGAAGCTATTAAATAAAGATACTACTACTTCATAAGGATTAAGTGTGTCACGATCTTGAATGAAACGAGGTAGACCAGAATCACATTCAAAATCTTCAGGCAGTTTCATATATTATTTCATCACTATAGTTATTTTCTAACATGTCTACATGCATATCTTCTTGCAAATCTCCCTTCTCTTCTTCAGCGTCACTGTCATTATCAGAACCAACCTCCGAAGTAATTGAAGCAAAATCATCATCATCATCATCATCAATTTCGTCATAAAGTTCATCCTCCGTCATACTACATAACTAATTTGAAGGTAAAAGGTTCTTGGCGATTCATTTTACTAACGGTACGGTGGTATAATATATGAACACTAGGAATTAAACCAAAATAAAAATGTATAAGGAGCATTTATATTTAAAAACTATATATCGGGAGATCTTGGTGGCCATGGTAACAATGTGACATCATTATGTTGAAAGAAGTCTATTGTGACTCTTGCAACATGTGGTCGGGCATTATGTTGTTGGAAAGTTGGATCTGCCAGGGTGTCAAGATAGGGTAAAAGATGGGGTTCTAGAACTTCGTGGATATAACGCTGCGCGTTCATGTTACCTCTGATGAAGATTAAAGGTGACCTGGAACCATAAGCTATAGCACCCCAAACCATAACTCCAACAGTGTGACGAACATGTCTTTCAACAAAAAACTGTGGATTCCTCCTTTCACCACGTCGCCTTCTAACCCTGGCACGACCATCGTGCATGCCTAAACAAAATCGAGACTCTTCACTAAAGACAATACTGTTCCATTCCTGATCCCAGAGTGACCGTTGTCTGCACCACTCAAGGCGATTACGTCGGTGTTCTCGAGTTAAAGGGAGGACCCAGTGTGGCCGGTATGAAAACAAGCCAAAACTTCTCATTAGTCGGTAAACACTTCGCATGCCAATAGGTCTTCCGTGTTCTGCAAACCATTCATTTGCAATGGACCTGGTAGTGGAGAAACGGTCCCTTAAGGCCAATACTCTTAGGCGGCGATCTTCACGGTCTGTTGTTCTACGGCGGCATCCAGTGCCCCTTGCTCTTTGCGTACGGCCTTCTCGAAGCCATGCCTGACAACACCTAACCACAGTGTCTACACTTCTTTGCACTCTAACTGCAATTGCCCGAAAAGAAAGTCCAGCTTCCCGAAGTCCCACTATACGGCCCCTATCAAACTCACTAAGTTGACGAAATCGTACAGGTCTCCGTACTCTAGGCATCGTAACCGATCGTAAAGGATGTCAAGAACCAAAATCCGCCAACGTTGATTCTTTACTGCGGCTGAAATATTCATTTTTAGAGCGTTAGTGAATTAAAAAAAGGCAGTATAAAAACCGGAATGTCCAACTGATAAGGCTGAAAATTTTTTCACTTGTTATTTACAGTAAGATAAATACATTCACCAACTTTTATTAAAATAAAACCATTTAAACTGGGTGCTCGGATTTATATGTCACTTAGTATATTTTATTTCATTTCACAAGCCGTTAAATCCGGTGACCTTGGTGGCCAGTTAAAGTCACCAAATCGTGAAATTAAACGTCCCGGAAGTATTGTTCGCAAAAGATTCATTGTTTCCCTAGCTGTGTGACGAGTTGCTCCGTCCTGCTGGAACCACATGTTTTCTGCAGCGTCTTTAAAGAAGTAAGGTCCAATGACACCTCCATACCAAACACCGTACAAAACTATGACTCGACGAGGATGCAGCGGGCGTTGATGAATGCCCAGATACGACAATTCTGCTGATCAGTTGTCGGTAAAAATCGTTATTTTGGGTATTAAGCGGCAATATTGCCTGACTGTATTGTCGGCTACTTTCATGGTCACTAGGCTGGTAGTTCTTGGGTTAACTCAATTTTGTATGGCCGCAAATGCAAGTCTTTTTTTAAAATAGTTCATAATGACGTGCTACGGATACCAAGTTTTTGAGAACGATGTCTGGTAGACGTCTCAGGGCGCTCCATTACAATTTCACAAACTCTCTAGGTATTTTCCGGAGTACGAACAGTTCGAACACGGCCCGACCTTGGCAAGTATTCAACTTCACCTGTTTGTGCAAATTTCCGCACCAACTGACGAATGGTGTTGACACTGGGCACATTATTTCGTCCGAAATCTTTTCGCAGCTTCCGAATCGTTGCAACAATCGACTCATTATTTAACTCAAAAGTACGGATGCGTTGTGGGACCGTGTAGCACATGTGCTTCAAACAACTACTACGGCGCCATCTTCTGAAATGCGTGTATCAAAAATGGCGCGCAATTTAAATCAGTTAGTTATATATTTCCACTCTGTACTAGCTATCTATTTGATGCATACCTTGAGCACAGCCTCGACTCTCTTCCTCAACCCGTCACCGGCAGTCAACGGCGTGTAGTGCATCTGCGGCGAAGGCGGTGACACGGTGAAGTACCCTGGGTGTCGATGAAGCGCGGCAACCACCTCCTGCGGTCCACCTGCGCCCTTCATCAGGTTGAACACTACGTCCTGCGCCATCGAGCGTCGGTACAGGTCGTCGTCCCTTTCCGTTGCCGAGGCAGCGGCGGCCAGTAGATCGACGCCCGTCGTGGGCGTGGCCGTAGTGTAGACTGACGAGTGGGTGGGGCTAGCGAGATGGGCGTGGTGTATATGGTGGGCGGGCGGAGCTGACAGCGGTGAAAGGCGGTCCACTGTCACGCCTGTTCGCGATGATGTTGAAGTGTACAGGATGTATCTGGAACGAAAATGTTGGGTTAAGCGTATTATTTCATGGATAAAAAACGAATAAAGTATTGGTCCTAGGACCGAACCCTGAGGAACACCGGCCCGTACTGGGCGTGTTGTTGACAAAACATTGTTAATTTTGATCCGAAACTTCCTTCCTTCAAGAAAGGATTTCAGTTTAGAAGTCAAAAAGGAAAACCCTTTTGGATTAGTTTATAAAGGAGGACCGCGTACCACACATTGTCAAAGGCTTTTCAGACGTCCAAAAGCAAGATGCCAGTACTCATGCTGAAGGTGAACCCTCTGGTTACATGTTCCACTAGCCTGACTGCCTGTAGCTCGGTGCTAAGCTCGGACCGAAAACCGAATTGGACGCCAGGAATCACATGGTGACTTGACGAAAAATTCTGAAGGTGACGATAAATCACCTTTTCGGCGAGCTTAGAAGGAGCTGACTTATGGGACGGTAATCCTGAGGAAATATCGAACCCACCTTCTTTGGAATCATGATGACCTCAGCAGTCTTCCACCCAGCAGGGAAGTACTGGATTACATCAAATATGTCAGGGCTTTCGGCGAGAGCAGCTTCAACGCCTTGTTGGTGATTTGATCCTCCCCAGGTGATTTACGCACCTTGAGGTCTTTAATATGACTTAGGAGCTCCGCTGGTGTGCAATGTGGAAACTAGGAGTGTTCCGCTAATGTGCTATGTGGAACCTCAGATGAATCTTCTGAAGAAGAGTCATCTGAAGAGGATGCAGTGCCTCCGCTAACGTCGTTGGCCCTAAAATATCTCCTGACGGATCGTACGATGTGATGTTCCTCGTCGAGGTCATTATCAAGATCATAGTTGGGAGATACCTAACTGTTTTTCCATGACACCAGCGAAAACCTCGACCTTATGCTCCGATCTGAAGACTATGCCTTCAGGACCGTGGTTGTGCGGGAGTTGTTCTCGCTTTCCGTTTCTGAGTGACTTTGCGACCCTCCAGAGAGGAATACTTGAATCAAGCATTCCCGCCAGAAAGTCGCTCCATTGCTCGTTGCGAAGTTCGTGCAGTGCGTTTCTCACTTCATGGACAAGATTTGTAGCCCTACGAATGTCAGACCTTTTTGGCTGCTTAATAGCGGCTCTCTTGTCAGAGATTTTCTGACAAATGTCCGCAGGCAAAAAAGGACTGCCGTGCCGTTGTACACGAAGTACAGCTGCACGCTATAGAGCTGCTTTAATGAAACTTGTCCACTCCGTTTGAGCGGCATCTATTCCAGACTCATCATCTATAATCGGGATATTGGGAAACTCTCTAAGGAGCAACTGGTATAGCTCAAAATGAATGCGTTTCCTTGGTGGAGCTTCCTCCTCAGAAGTTTGCTTATTGCGCACATCCAAGACAACAGGTAGATGGTCACTAGAGATATCATACAAGATTCGAGAAGAGATACTGTATCGATGACATCTGGTGCCTGAAGATGGTTGAATGGATGGTTTGTCGGCTCTTCAGTGCTATGTATAAGGTACCCATTTCGCATCACATGGTTGTAAACTCGAATCCCTCTAGTGGAATTCAACCTAGAATTCCATGCTCGATGTTTGCAGTTGGAAGTCCCGAGTAGTCCAAAAGGACCTCCAGATCACCGATGTGATCTTCAACGAGACACCTCTCGCCATATTCACCACCACAGAAGCTGCTTCGATGCTATGCATCTCCGCATTAGTGCTAAACCGCCACCTCGACCATTCAGTCTGTCACCTCGGATAACATCATAATTCGGGAGAGCTAAACGATCTCCAGGATTAAGCAACGTTTCCTGCAGCAAGGCCACATCTGTACCTTCATCCAAAAGAGCTTGATAAAATTCCCGTTTTTTGGGAATATCCCTCATGCCCAAACAATTCCAAAACAGAATTTTGAGGAATGCAGGCTGTCTACTATTGTACCTAGACATTTACAGGAAATATCGCCTGCAACGCTTGGGTAGCGCTAATCAGTGGGCCTATTATTTGTTGTATGGACCTTAGCGCTGTTGCCAGGTCCACATTTTGCGTGCTCAAGGAGGTTGGGCAGAGGGGACAGGCAAGGTTGCCTCCCTAGCTGCGTCCGCGTATGATAGATTGCGCCTTTGCGCTATAACTTGAAAGTTCCTCCTTGGAGTGAACTTGAATGTCCGAAAATTTGCGGGATGTCCCTCTCCACAGTTTGCGCTGTTCCTATTCTGTGAGGGAGCACAAATGCGTCATGTGGTCCTTTGCACATTTTAAGCATTTGGGCGGTGCAGTGCAATATAACTGCGCATGCCCGTACTTTTGGCAGCCGTGACACTGCCCAACGAGTCTGGAGCTCTTCTGAATCTCAACTCGAATGGCCAGTTCTTGCTGAGACTTTTCAGTCTTGGGCAGTATCACGACCACCAAAGGCGCGCCGCCGCTGCGCTTCAATCGAATCATGTGGAGAGGGCTATATCCCCTCTGCTCAAGTTCTCCCTTAATCTCAGTATCCGAAAAGTTGACGGGAACTCCTCGAACCACCGCGTGGATGTTCCGTTCCGAAGGGAGAGGAAAAGTGTGATGGGGCACTTCTTCCTCTCGGAACAGGCGAACAATCTTACGGTAGTCGTCCTCGGATTTAGGAATAATCCTTATTCCCGCATCGACGGCAACCGCGCGATCTATTTTAATGCCTAGGGAAATGAATTTGTAATTTAACGTACGCCACCTCGCCCCATCACGCAGAACAATAGGCGTTACGCGCCTTTGGCTGAGCGAGATGGCTGAGAAGTGACATTGGCCGACGGGGTGACCTTAAAGGTAAATAATGTAGTCCCTCCGCCAACCGATGACAAAGGTTTGGTAATAGACATAGTGTTGCTGATATTTTGAATTGATGTAGCAACCATATCATTATTTGACGTTGTGATGTACCTGCTTAGATTCAGTGAATGAACTATATGGAGCTATTGCCGTAATCCGCATGGAACGTCCTGATTTCTGTCGAGTTCTAATCTAGTTGATCTTCTGCGACGTATAACAAACGTAAAATACAAATGTGCTTTCCAACTAACCTAATGTCTGAATCGTAACTGCTCGGCTGGTCCTGCACCTGCGCGAGGGCGACGTTCGGCAACAGCGCCTGCGTAGGCGCCACCTTCGATTGGTCCTTGTAGTTCTCCTTGTCACTTATCGCGCTCGAGCAGGACGACTCCGAAGAAGCAGTCGAGGCGGGAGGCGTTGGTACCAATGGTGGCGGTGCGGTTATGGCGGGGGAGGGAGCGGGGTTCTCGCTGTGGCTTTTTATGTGCGCCTCCATGCTCTTCTTAGAGTTGAACGTGTCGTTGCAGATCGTGCATTTGTACACTTTCTCGCCGTAATGAGCCACCTGGAACAAGAGCGGCAAAATTAATTACTGTCTTTTTAGAATCCGCTGTAATGCATTTATCAATATACAGCGTGTTAATTAAGTATGAACCATAAATTTAGCAGCCGATTTCTTTGAGTAATTTCAAGACAAAAAGTTCCATCAAAATTCTTCGTTGTCAAACAGGTCCTTTCTTGCGCCTACAAATAAGTAAAAAGTTTTGGTTGTATGAACATAATACGTAAATAATGTACCATACAGACAAAATATCCCACAAGAACAAAATAGTGAAGTCAGAGAAGAACAAGTTAAAGTCAGCTACAACCTGGATAGTCTTAATGATGACTCTACAAAATTCCTGTATCAAATAAGATTAGCGAAGCTCTGGGAGAAAAACCCCAAACAAACAAAAATAACCCCTCAGCACCATGGTGGAGTGACACTCTGGAAGAATTTGTTGAAAGTAAAAACAGAGCCTATAGGAAATGGCTTGATACAAAAAATCCTCAGGACAGAGAAGAGTATCTGGAAAAAAGAAGAGAAACCCAAAGAGAAATCAGTAGAGCCGAAAACGATTATTGGGAAAAAACTTGCGAACAGGTGGACCGATGTATGGGTAACACAAGAGTTAACAGGGCCTGGAAATTGATCATGCGGTCAAACAAAAAAGATACTGCTGGACTTAGTCTCATTAGTATGAATCAGTGGATGAAGTATTACAAAGAACTCTTAACTGAGGACGGTCTACAGTTTATGGAGGAAGAAACCTCAGAGGTCCATCAGGAGGAATTTATCCAAGAAGTGCCAGATATTACACCTCAAGAAATTCGTGGAGCTCTTAAAAATATGAAAAATGGCAAAGCTCCAGGGCCAGGAAACATCAGTGTAGAATTACTTAATAAAGCAGCACCTGACATAGTAATGGAAATCCTAGCATATATTTTCAACAGATGCCTTCATGGGGAAGAACCTCCAGCAGAGCGGAAAGAGGCAATCATAAGCTCAATATACAAAAAAGGAATTTCTTTAGCATCATTTATTTGATCTGTCAAGAAATGAGCGTTATAAAATGGCCAGTCAGAATTGTCTGTACTTTCAAATATTTCTTATAACCGCAAAAACTTTGATCTCATTGAAAATACGCGAAAAAAATGGTTGAGGAGTTTCAAGAAGACATTGAAAAATCACAAAACAACACCTCTTCACAGTTTACCAAGTAAATACCGTCCTTTACGTATTTTAATCTGTTATTTAAGCTAATCAGCTAATGTGTAATAACACGTCTGGTTTTGAACCTTTTTTGCAAAAAAACAACGGCTTGTTGTATTGGTTCTAGGCTAGTTTTTTCAAAGTTCAAAAAGGCAGTACTATTCAAACTGTAGAGGAAAGAAAAAGTTTGGGAATACTATTAGATACAAATTTAAGCTTTGAATGTCGTGTTACGAATAAACTCAAATTGTGCTATTATAAATATAAAACGCTAAATTAATGCTTGTAAACTCGTTAATCCTTACACATTTGGATTATCGTGTCACAGTCTATTACAACCTCCTTGCAGAGGAAATAAAACAAAAAATTCAGATTTTACAGAATCGTTGCATAAGATTTTATAATAATATAGGTAGAGAAGAACACATCACTCGCTACTATGTGAGAGAAGACATTTTAAAATATAACTACCGTTCATTGCTTTTTATGGTGCTCTATTATATAAAGTTTTAAAATATAAATCTCCAAATTATCTGTATAATATTTTAGAGAAAAGATCCTCTGTTTTTTTAAGAAACGATAATTGTTATAATATCCCAGGACATGTAACATCTAAATTCAAAAAAGCTTTCACTTACAGAGCACCTTGTTTGTTGAATAAATATTTAGAACTTTTCCAAATTACTTCCAGTAGTAGTTTCAGAAAGGAATTCAAGAAGTTGCTTCTCCAGTTACAAGCTTCTGAAGCTGAAGATTAAGAACTTACGATTCAATATTGTATTTTATTTACAATTGCACCTCAATTTTGTAGATTACATTACCTATGTAAAATTAGAGACAAGATGAATCGCATGCTTTTAATTGTTTTAATTTACTGAATCTCTCTGTAATTGCTGTAGGCGATGGTGAAAATGGCAATGCCAATCCTCAGCCTTTTGGAGCGTTTTTTTTAATGTATATATACAGGGTGTCCCAGAAGTCGACGTCAAGCCGAAACCGGGTGAAAGGCAAAGTCATAACAGCTATCAGAAAAATATTTAAAAAATTTTTATTTATATGTTTTGAAAATTATAGGTCTTTGAAAAAAATATAGAAATTTCACACCCTACGGCAGTCTGTCAACTCCTGTTACTACAAATATTAACTTTTTTTGGATTTTATTTTTACAATGTAATGATGAATAATGCATCTTCAAACTGGTGTCTCAACCTTACTGCCAACTTTTCTCGTTCAGGAAAAATTGCCACTTATTTCCCAACCAAGTATTCCAAAGTAAAACTTTGCTCAACTTTAACTGGCTGTACTGGAAAAAAATGTACTAGAAGAGTTTGGCAAGTAACCTTAAAAGTTGGCGCATTTAATAAGGATTCCAAAATGGTATAACACTTAGAAGATTACTCGTTAACTTATGCACAATTTTTATTTGAAGAAAAACTGATGAAAATTTTTCAAAATTTCCTAATTAAACAGCGATTATGAAAACGCACAAGGACCCTTAATGATAACTGTTTGCACAACAGTGGGCGTCAAAATGCTGCTGATGATTTACCTTTACAGCAAATGCTCAAACTGTTTTCCTTCAGCCGCAATACACGCTCGACATCTTCTTAAAAAAGATCGGGTTATTAATCGAGCGAATCCACGGTTATTAACAAACTCAGCTGCTTCCAATAATCTTTGCCGTACCTCAGCTAAATAAAAAAAATACATTTGGAATCGGCTTGAAATACACTTTTTCTTTTACAGTTCTCCAGTAAAAAAAATCTAACGGATTCAAATCTGGTGACCGGGCTGGCCACGGTATTGTACCCGACCGCCCTATCCATCTGCCTGGAAAGTTTTGATCGAGATTCTCTCTCACTGAGAGTGCATAGTGCGCTGGGCAGCCATCATGCTGAAACCACATGTCCCTGTAAATACTCAGTGGCACGTCCTCCAATAAATTTTCGAAATGATTTTGCAAAAAACCTAAATAAACCTCAGCAGTCAAAGTCTCTGGGAACTCAAACGGACCGATTATTTTACCATTTAAAATTCCTGTCCAATTGAAGCGATATTGAGATTTATCTTCTCTCATCAAATGTGGTTTTGCTACGTGCCACTCGTGTAAGTTATGCAGGTTCATGTACCCATCTTTCTTAAATGTGGTCTCATCTGACCATACAATTTTTTCAAAGAACCGTGGATCTTCCCTGTGTCTTTCTAAAATTGTGCGACAAAAAGCAACTCGGGGCTCATAATCCCGGGGCAGAAGAGCTTGAACACGCTGTACGTGGTATGGATGGAGCACGTTTTTTTGCAAGATTCTATGGGCTGTACTTTTGGGTACACCTGTTTTTAGTTCTATTGCACGCACTGAAGTACTCGGGTCTTCTTCGACAGCTCCTAGCACCACGTCTTCGTAAGGAAGGAAAGATCTTCCTTCACCGTGCGATTGGTTTGGTAGTTGGCCCTCTGAGAACAGTAAGCGGTGCTCATTTGTGAACACTCGATGATCTGGATGACGAGCTGCATTCGGGTACCTCTCACAGTAAAGTCTCGCTGCAGCCCTAGCGTTGCATCTGCATTCCACATAAATGAGGTGCATGTTAGCATATTCTTGTACGGTGCACACGGACATAGCGGCACTGCACAATCACACTATCAAAGATAGTCTAAGGAAAGCAAATGTTGTTTTGAAGAGCAATTAAACAGTCCAAATCCAAATCACAAGCGATCAACAGTCCAGTTCACGAATCTAAAATTAGTAACAGTACGAAATCAACAAGCACGAACATGTAAAGATGCGCAGTAAACAAAGGAGTACTGATCGGTATCAAAGTGTGCAATAGCAAGTAAGTGATGTGCTTCATCCATACCACATACAGCGTGTTCAATCTCTCCTGCCCCGGGATTATGAGCCCCGAGTTGCTTTTTGTCGCACAATGTTAGAAAGACACAGGAAAGATCCACAGTTCTTTGAAAAAATTTTATGGTCGGATGAGACCACATTTAAGAAAGATGGGTACATGAACCTGCATAACTTACACGAGAGAAGATAAATCTCAATATCGCTTCAAGATAAACCATTGGACAGGAATTTTAAATGGTAAAATAATCGGTCCGTTTGAGTTCCCAGAGACTTTGACTGCTGAAGTTTATTTGGATTTTTTGAAAAATCATGTACAAAATTTATTGGTGGACGTGCCACTGAGTATTTACAGGGACATGTGGTTTCAGCATGATGGCTGCCCAGCGCACTATGCACTCTCAGTGAGAGAGTATCTCGATCAAAACTTTCCAGGCAGATGGATAAGGCGGTCTGGTACAATACCGTGGTCAGCCCGATCACCTGATTTGAATCCTTTAGATTTTTTTACTGGGGAACTGTAAAAGAAAAAGTGTATTTCAAGCCGATTCAAAATGTAGCTGAGCTACGGCAAAGACTATTGGAAGCAGCTGAGTTTGTTGATAACCGTGGATTCGCTCGTTTAATAATCCGATCTTTTTTAAGAAGATGTCGAGCGTGTATTGCGGCTGAAGGAAAACAGTTTGAGCATTTGCTGTAAAGGTAAATCATCATCAGCAGCATTTTGACGCCCACTGTTGTGCAAACAGTTATCCTTAAGGGTCCTTGTGCGTTTTCATAATCGCTGTTTAATTAGGAAATTTTGAAAAATTTTCATCAGTTTTTTTCAAATAAAAATTGTGCATAAGTTAACGAGTAATCTTCTAAGTGTTATACCATTTTGGAATCGTTATTAAATGCGCCAACTTTTAAGGTTACTTGCCAAACTCTCGTAGTAAATTTTTTTTTCCAGTACAGCCAGTTAAAGTTGAGCAAAGTTTTACTTTGGAATACATGGTTGGCAAATAAGTGGCAATTTTTCCTGAACGAGAAAAGTTGGCAGTAAGGTTGAGACACCACTTTGAAGATGCATTATTCATCATTACATTGTAAAAATAAAATCCAAAAAAAGTTAATATTTGTAGTTACAGGAGTTGACAGACTGCCATAGGGTGTGAAATTGCTATATTTTTTTCAAAGACCTATAATTTTCAAAACACATACATAACATTTTTTTAAATATTTTTCTGATAGCTGTTATGACTTTGCCTATCACCCGGTTTCGGCTTGACGTCGACTTCTGGGACACCCTGTATATATATATATATATATATTAATTTTGTATAAGTGCTCCAATAAACATTATTATTATTATTATTATTAACTGACACCGTAAATGTGCGAAAACTGAATGCTTCTTTATCACCAAACAATACACGCAACCACCACAAAAACTTGACAGAAAAACTTGACCATTTTATCACTTGTTGTTCATGGCAAGAAAATACGATATGAAATAATTTTTGAATTCTAATAAACATACGCTAGGTGTTTATCTTTTTTTGTCACTCGGTATAGTTCAATTTTCAAGAGTCCTTACCTGGTGAAGTTTCAGTACGTGGTTGTAGCCAAAGCTCTTGCCACAAATCTCGCAAGAGTATGGTTTTTCGCCTGTATGAGTCCTTGAATGGACTTTGAGCTGCTTACTGCACGTAAATCCTTTGTGACATACGTTGCACACGTACGGTTTTTCTCCTGTAACAATAGAAAACATTTTTTTTTATATTCCAACTACCACGAAGGCCTAAGGCCTAAACACCCATTGGGTACCGTGGGGCTATAGGGGGATACAGGGGAAAGGGGGAACGCCACACGGACTCTGGCGAGGGAACACGTGTCCATGCAACATGCATTCATAGCCAAGAAAAAAATTTCTCCTGGGACGGGACTCAAACCCGCACAGCGCACGGCAACTGATCAGGAGACGAAGAGTCTACTACTAATATATATATATATATTTTCCGCCTTTGTTGGGTACTTCGACGAAATTTATGCAAAGAGGACTCTTCATACTTTTTTAATTCTCTCTAGCTTTCAATGGACTTTGCCATCATCATCAGGAGCTGCAATTACAATGATAACAGTAGCAACAAAAGTGTAAAATGAATTTAAATTGACTCAACTTACAGTAGTATGTGAGGATGTTGCTAATTGTTGTTTACGTATAGGATGAGGGAAACGTCCAGTAACATGGTGAGAGCTGGATAGATGGTACAATGGTCAAAATTATATAAAATATGACAAGAACAAGTTAAAAACAGATTAAAAATTATTTAAAAACATTAGAGCATTACATCGTGAAGCCACTTGATGATTGCACAAAATGGTGGTCATGGAATAATGAGTGAGATGAACCTTTGACAGAAGGCCGAAGGTTGTCAATGTCTGTGTTGAAAGATGGAACGAATTGTGGGCGTGTGCCAAAACGTTGCCAAATCACTTCAGATGATGTGATTTTCAGAATGTTATGTAAGAAATTGTTAAACCGACCAGAGGCAGTTGAATAAACTATATTTTAATTAATGGGAATTTTAAATTAACAATTATGTAATGCTCTAATGTTTTCTAAATAATTTTTAATCTGTTTTTAACTTGTTCTTGTCATATTTTATATAATTTTGACCATTGTACCATCTATCCAGCTCTCACCATGTTACTGGACGTTTCCCTCATCCTATATGTAAACAACAATTAGCAACATCCTCACAAACTACTGTAAGTTGAGTCAATTTAAATTCATTTTACACTTTTGTTGCTACTGTTATCATTGTAATTGCAGCTCCTGATGATGATGGCAAAGTCCATTGAAAGCTAGAGAGAATTAAAAAAGTATAAAGAGTCCTCTTTGCTTAAATTTTGTCGAAGTACCCAACAAAAGGCGGAAGCTTTAATTTTTCACCTAACTGGTCTAGACGACAATGACCACGTCTCAAGTTATATATATACGGTGCTTTTGAAAAAGCCCCCCCTCTACTTTATTTTGTGATCGGGTAAAGTTAGCGAGCTGAAATTCAGGATGATGAAAGATGAAATACGTGGAATGCGTGCACACTAAAAACTACCTAATCTGCAAGATGACATTTTGTCGGGTTTTTGACGTTTTTTATGTTTTAATAATAATATATTTATTGCCCAACATATACATCCATTTAAAGGACAATTTAATTGAATACGATTTGACGTTACAGTATTTTTAACTAGAATCATAGCTCGCCCAGTTTATGAAAAAAAATCACCTACATGTCTTAAATGCTATAAATTGAATAATAGTAGTCGCTGAATACAGCTAATATATCTTTGACTATATCATGATGAATGTCACAATTATCAGCTATGGTGTTAAAGCTGGAGCACATAAAGTACACGGGTGACTTAATCGTAACATTAGAATTTGGTGTTTTTAAGTAAAAAGCGGAAAATGCAGGACGGTACATGAAAATCAATTTTAGCTAATAGAGCTGAAGAATCAACATCACTGTGTACGAGTTTGTAAAGGAATTTTAAACTATTACAAACTCTTCTCAGCTCAAGAGGATGCATTTCAAATCTGAGCAACATCGCTGACTGGGGAGTCCCACGATTGGGATAAACACCATCTAATTTGAAAGTCAAGTATTTAAGAAATCTCCTCTGTACACTTTCAATTTCATTAGTATAGATTTGGTGATATGGATGCCATACGCTAGATGCATATTCCAGCTTAGAAAGCACCAAGGTGCAGTATAAAGCCTTCAGTGTCGTTTCACTACCAAACGATTTGCAGTTTCTTATAAAAAAACCGAGGCTTTTTATAGCGGATGATACTACTGTACTAATATGACCTGTAAATTAGATCTCTTACTTCTGAACAACGCACCAAACTGACACCTTCCAGTGTATGATCAAAAACTATTGGATTCGTTTTCCTAGTAAAAGAACAGGTTTTACATTTGCTAACATTCGAAAATAATCTAATATACTAAGTGACATATAAATCTGAACACCCAGTTTAAATGGTTTTATTTTAATAAAATTTTGTATAAGTACTTAATGAAGCATAATAAGTAAATGATAAAAATTTCAAAATGATTGCACTGCTTTAAAGCCCTTTGATCTTTAATAATGTGTGGATGCACCCTGATGTGCTACGCATTCTCCAACGCGCCTAGGCATGCTTCTAATCAGGTGGTCAATGTCCTCCTGTGGTATCTCATTCCAGGCAACCACCAACTCCTCTCGAAGTGCTTCTAGAGTCTAAGGAGGACGTTGCAAATTGAGCAATCTCCTACCCATCATATCCCACACGTGCTCAATTGGGGATAAGTCGGGAGATCTTGGTGGCCATGGTAACAATGTGACATCATTATGTTGAAAGAAGTCTATTGTGACTCTTGCAACATGTGGTCGGGCATTATCTTGTTGGAAAGTTGGATCTGTCAGGGTGTCAAGATAGGGTAAAAGATGGGGTTCTAGAACTTCGTGGATATAACGCTGCGCGTTCATGTTACCTCTGTTGAAGATTAAAGGTGACCTGGAACCATAAGCTGTAGCACCCCAAACCTTAACTCCAACAGTGTGATGAACATGTCTTTCAACAAAAAACTGTGGATTCCTCCTTTCACCACGTCGCCTTCTAACCCTGGCACGACCATCGTGCATGCCTAAACAAAATCGAGACTCGTCACGAAAGACAATACTGTTCCATTCCTGATCCCAGAGTGACCGTTGTCTGCACCACTCAAGGCGATTACGTCGGTGTTCTCGAGTTAAAGGGAGGACCCAGTGTGGCCGGTATGAAAACAAGCCAAAACTTCTCATTCGTCGGTAAACACTTTGCATGCCAATAGGTCTTCCGTGTTCTGCAAACCAGTCATTTGCAATGGACCTGGTAGTGGAGAAACGGTCCCTTAAGGCCAATAATCTTAGGCGGCGATCTTCACTGTCTGTTGTTCTACGTCGGCGTCCAGTGCCCCTTGCTCTTTGCGTACGGCCTTCTCGAAGCCATGCCTGACAACACCTAACCACAGTGTCTACACTTCTTTGCACTCTAACTGCAATTGCCCGAAAAGAAAGTCCAGCTTCCCGAAGTCCCACTATACGGCCCCTATCAAACTCACTAAGTTGACGAAATCGTACAGGTCTCCGTACTCTAGGCATCGTGACCGATCGTAAAGGATGTCAAGAACCAAAATCCGCCAACGTTGATTCTTTACTGCGGCTGAAATATTCAGTTTTAGAGCGTTAGTGAATTAAAAAAAAGCAGTATAAAAACCGGAATGTCCAACTGATAAGGTTGAAAATTTTTTCACTTGTTATTTACAGTAAGATAAATACATTCACCAACTTTTATTAAAATAAAACCATTTAAACTGGGTGTTCGGATTTATATGTCACTTTTTTTGCCAAAACTTGGTTAACACTATGCCCCAAAGAATTTCAGCAGTAATGAAGAATAAAGGTGATGTTACCCAATGGTAATCTTTCAATTGTTGCTTTGTTAACTTCGCGCATTTATCCGCACATTGTTTATTTGTTCAGATGATCTATTTAGTTATAGGTCTAAGTGATTTCAAATATGTATTTTTTACGACTAGAGTGTATCTAAAATGTTTTTGAGAAAATAAATTGTTTTAGAAGTAAATAGTTTCGTCATGTTTAGTTTATAAAGGCATATTTTGGTACAAATCTTGAAGTGAGAAGGGGCTCGTAGATCCTTTAAAACTAGTAAATTGGATCAATCAATGACTATGACAGTATCGCATTACTTTGAAGAAAGAAAATCTACAAACTAGTACAAAATGAATATACAATAAATATTTTCTTTATCGAGCATTAACAACTAATCCGTTCAACGCTGATCTCTTGGCGGGTTTTACATGCCTTGGTCAGATATTCTCTCAATAATTTTTACAAATAACGCAAATCAAAGTAACAATCTGGTGGCACAATAGTTGAGGCTGTGGGTCTACTAACTAATTGCCGTAAGCCGTGCTGGTTCGAATCCCATCCCATAATTCTTCTCTTGGCTATGGAAGTTGTGCTTGCCCGTAGGTGGAAGACGGTCTAAGACCGTCGAGAACGGAGGTACCACCCGGCGGATTTCTACGGTGGAGTCATAATGCCACATGCACACGTGTTCCCTCACTATACTATAACTATCTAAAACTGTAATGACTCATCGATGTTCACGTGAACATCACTTTACTACCAGTAGTCGGCTGTTCATAGGCGGGGTATGAATGTTTAACATGGGTGAACTAGATTTGTCACATGCTTAATAAAGAGTGGTTTGAAACATATTGTAAGCCAAACATTTGGGAATAACCTTTAGTCATCGTCGCTTCCACTTACATCTGGCAGTAATAAACTGTCGCTATCGCTTTCCTCGTTGAAATTGACTATAACTGGCTCTATGATGGTGTCGATGTGGTGGTCAAGCTGCCACATTTTTGTTTCTTCCTTCACAACATGACGGATAGCATTCTGCCAAGCTTCGGGCGTTACTAGCTGTATGGAAGTCTCAAGTAAAACCTTAACGTCTGGTAATTTGAAGGTTGTGTTATGGCGCGCAATATAACCCTTCACTTGAGCAGGTTTGTGCTGTTCAATTTTTTCATACAATTCCGCTTTCACACATGAATCGTCAAACGGGATTCCTTTTTCGCGGAACCATTGCTGCATGTCACTTTTTCGAGATCCCATAGTCGGTACACGTTCGGCTCGACGACTATGGTAGGAAGCATTATCCATGACGATCACAGAGTTGGGCTCAACTCGCTGAAGCACCCCTTGAAACCAGCTCTCGAAGCAGCTGGCATTCATTTCGTCATGGTAATCACCTCCTTTCTTAGAGACGTAAATCAAGTCACACTCTTCTAAAAAGCCACTATCGCTACCAATATGAGTTACGATCAATCTTTGACCTTTCCCTGACGGTCCACGAAGACCTGTTGACAAACCTTCAATGCTTGCTTGTCGGTTACTCACTACGTTTTTGTCTATCCAGGTTTTTTTAACTGTGTGATCTGCATTTACTCATGCCTCGTCCAAATAATAGATTTTTCTGCTTTGTCGCCTATATTCAATCATTTCGCGTAGGTATTTTCGACGCCAGGCGACTATTTTAGGTCTCTCTATCAATACTGACTTCCGATTACGCGTTTCGTAACGAAAATTAATTTCGTGCAGGGATTTCCTCATTACCTCGACGCTCATTTGGGGTATAATTTCATTTTCCTTGATCGCTGCATGTACAGCCTTGAGGGTTGGTATCTCATTCCTAAAGAAGAATGAATGTACGGTTCGCCTTAACCCCATTTTGCTATCGTCATCCAATTTAACAGCCTTTCGTCCTTTCAAATTAAACTTTGTTTTGTTTTCTTCTTTTCATGCACCACCCTGCGAATGGTCCACTCTGGAACGCCTGTCATACTTTCACAACGCGCGAGTGCATCTCCCTGCGACATAGTTCTGTTCAGATAATTGAACACGTTGAGCAAGATTTCTTTCGCGTCCCTCTTCAGTGCTTTACGAAGCCGTCTACTTGTTCCCTGGCTTTCAGTACTTCCTCTCGTGCCATTTGTACTCTCCATGGTTAAGTATAACCAAAACAGTAACCACAGAAACCACAACAATAACAATCACACAACAATTCTTATAAAAACACACAATATGCGATCGCGCAACGAAACACGTTCCAATGCGTTGCCGACGCCTATGAGTCTGCCGGTCGAGGCGCGTCTTTGATTTCATTGGTTCTACCGGCGGAGAACAATCAGCCATTATTTCCATCTCTGTCTGTGCTGTTGACCACCGCAAAGCCACAGAAACGACATATGTCGTACGCTATACGGCTGTACTGGAAGGAAGCCGGGATCGAGCTCTGATCACGTGTTGATCACGCGTATGAGTCATTACAGTTTTAAATAGTTGTAGTATAGAGACCGTATTACGTCCCCCTCTTTCCCCTGTAGCCCACGATACCAACGGCTGTTACGATTGGGTAGCTCAAGTGTGAAGAAAAAATACTTCGTATATGAACAAAAATGTTGGCTTCAAAACGCTTACCAGTATGTGTTCTCATATGTATGACCAGCTGTCCGCTCTGTATGAACGTCTTTGAGCAAACGGCACACCTGTGAGGCCGCTCTCCCGTGTGGATCCTCATGTGCCTGTGCAACTTTCCGCTGTGTTCAAATGCCCTGGAACACACCTCGCACTTGTACGGCCGTTCTTTGGTGTGGATACGTCTGTGGACGCTCAAGTTCTCCTTCACGCTGAATGATTTGTTGCAGAATTCGCATCTGAAACAAACAAAAAAGTTCGTTTAAAGAGTGGCATCGTACGAATAATTTGGCTGTATTGATTTTACGTCGCACGCCACTGGCGAACAGGTACTGTGAGTTTCGAAGGGGAGATCGACTTTGAATAATGTATTAGGGACTAATATCGAGCATTTAATAATAGTCAGTTTTGCAGACGATACTGCTATACTCTATAAAGGTAAGGATTGGAACGACTTAAAAGATATTATCCAAAATGACTTTTACAAAATTATTCAATGGTTTAATACTGTGGAGTAAACTCATCCAGTCTCATGGTGAGGCTCATGTCGTTGCTCTTGACATCACGAAAGCGTTCGATCAGCTATGGCACGCTGCCCTCTTGAGCAAACTTCCATCCTACGGCCTCCCAGAAAAGCTTTGCAGATGGGTGGCTGACTTTATCTCTGGCCGCAAGATATCCGTCGTAATTGACGGATTCTCCTCTTCATCCCACAACGTCAACGCGGGTGTTCCCCAGGGATCGGTCTTGGCTCCAACACTGTTTCTCTTACATATCAACGACCTCCTTTCCTGCACGATCAACCCAATCCACAGCTTCGCTGATGACAGCACTCTACATGCAGGAATTCAGAGTGACAAGCCGATCTCTGCCGCTGAGCTGGAAAAAAGAAGACTAGCGACGACTTCTTCTCTGACAAGAGACCTGGAGGCTATCACTGCTTGGGGACGCAACAATCTTGTACAGTTCAATGCTTCCAAAACACAGTACTGTACTTTGACGAACAAAAAGCGTCCTAGCGCTCATACAGTTTCGATGGACGGTCGAGTTCTACCAAAGAGCCATTCATTTCGGTTGGTCGGAGTCCAGATCACCGAGGACCTGATCTGGTACGAACACATCTCTTCAATAGCTGCAGCTGCTGGGAAAAAGCTAGGCTATTTGTTTAGGGCTAAGAAGTACTTTTCTCCGCATGACCTTCTCACTCTATACAAGGCCCAGATAAGGCCTAGCCTCGAGTATTGCTCACACATTTGGGGTGCTGCCGCCCCGACTACATTGTCCATGCTCGATGCTGTCCAGAGGAGGGCGGTCCGACTGATCGATGACTCTTCTCTAACAGACAGTCTCGGGACTCTTTCGCACCGGCGGGCCGTCGGCGATCTAGCTCTTTTCTATCGCTACACCAACGGGCTTTGCTCCTCAGAGCTCTCTTCCATGATGCCGCCGCGCGATGTGCCTGCCAGACAGACCCGCCTGACTTCGGCGTCCCATCCTAACCGTGTCAAACTTCGTACATCCAGAACTGGCCGATACGACCGCTCCTTTATCCCGAGGGTGTCTAGATTGTGGAACAAACTACGGGAGGAAGCTTTTCCCAGTTCTACTAACCTTAGGCAGTTCAAAAATCGTATTAACAAAATTTCTTTGGGATCATCATAGCAGCCGCGGTGTTCCGGCATTTAGGCTTCTGCCTGCGCGGCTGTTTCGATATAAAAAAAAAAAAAAAAAAAAATAACCGAAAATTAACAATTAACTTTACTAAAACTCATTTTTTACCATTTTCATCAATATCTAATCATCTACCAAAATATAACCACCTTCGGTTTAAGGTATATGATAAAAATATAAAAATCAATAGAGTTAATGTTACAAAATATTTAGGAATTTATCTAGATCCCCACTTGAGATGCGATGTACATATTTCTCACATACTAAAGAAAATTAGATTCATAGCATATAAAATAAAATTTCTAACCGGTATATTAACTGAATATTATCTACGAATAATATATTAAGCTTTAGTCGAGCCACACATAACATATGGTATAGTAGTGTGGGGTGCTGCATGCACGACATACTTTAACGATTTAGATGTACTTCAAAGAAGAATTTTAAAATCAATGTTAGGCAAATCAAAATTATACCCAACTAATGACTTATATAATGATGCACAAGTATATGATACTAAACAACTTTACTTCTTACATACCATCACTCATTATCACAAAACTATTAGTGAACACGACATAATTAAACGTAATCATCAAACCAGATATAAATTACGCGCAAAAAATGTTCCTAAACCAAACAAATCCCTAATGAAACGATGTCACTTGTATATAGCTCCAAAATTGTACGAACATTTACCAAATAATTTAAAACAATTACGCAATACATTAGGCTTCAAAAAAAATTAAAAAAATTTATTAACTCGATTGGGAGAAATCAAATTAATAAAATAATCTCAAATATTACACAATAAATGCTCTACCATTCTTACCAATAATTTCTTTTTTCTCTCTATTTTATTATATTTTGCAATTCAACATACATATGATCCATGCACAGGCGTTGTCCTCCTATGGATATATTATATTTATTTACTCGTTTCATGTTCCCTGTATTTTAGAGTAAATAAATATTATTATTATTATTATTATTTTGCCTAATTTTTCAGACGGTCAGTTCGTTACAATTGGTTGATATTTGTCTACTGTTTTTTAGCAGGCTTTTTAATCATACGAGATTTCTAAAACAGACGTATACTGTATCAATACTTTTAGAAAAAGGGTCAAGGGAATTATATTTCTTCGTAAAGAAACTGGATTACGTTATTTAGCACATGCTACATACTAACTAGTCTAAGACGGTTTGAAACATATACTAAGTGACATATAAATCCGAACACCCAGTTTAAAAGGTTTTATTTTAATAAAATTTTGTATAAGTACTTAATGAAGCATAATAAGCAAATGATAAAAATTTCAAAATGATTGCACTGCTTTAAAGCCCTTTGACCTTTAATAATGTGTGGATGCACCCTGATGTGCTACGCATTCTACAACGCGCCTAGGCATGCTTCTGATCAGGTGGTCAATTGGGGATAAGTCGGGAGATCTTGGTGGCGATGGTAACAATGTGACATCATTATGTTGAAAGAAGTCTATTATGACTCTTGCAACATGTGGTCGGGCATTATCTTGTTGGAAAGTTGGATCTGCCAGGGTGTCAAGATAGGGTAAAAGATGGAGTTCTAGAACTTCGTGGATATAACGCTGCGCGTTCATGTTACCTCTAATGAAGATTAAAGGTGACCTGGAACCATAAGCTATAGCACCCCAAACCTTAACTCCAACAGTGTGATGAACATGTCTTTCAACAAAAAACTGTGGATTCCTCCTTTCACCACGTCGCCTTCTAACCCTGGCACGACCATCGTGCATGCCTAAACAAAATCGAGACTCGATACTAAAGACAATACTGTTCCATTCCTGATCCCAGAGTGACCGTTGTCTGCACCACTCAAGGCGATTACGTCGGTGTTCTCGAGTTGAAGGGAGGACCCAGCGTGGCCGGTAAGAAATCAAGCCAAAACTTCTCATTCGTCGGTAAACACTTCGCATGCCAATAGGTCTCCCGTGTTCTGCAAACCATTCATTTGCAATGGACCTGGTAGTGGAGAAACGGTCCCTTAAGGCCAATAATCTTAGGCGGCGATCTTCACGGTCTGTTGTTCTACGGCGGCGTCCAGTGCCCCTTGCTCTTTGCGTACGGCCTTCTCGAAGCCATGCCTGACAACACCTAACCACAGTGTCTACACTTCTTTGCACTCTAACTGCAGTTGCCCGAAAAGAAAGTCCAGCTTCCCGAAGTCCCACTATACGGCCCCTATCAAACTCACTAAGTTGACGAAACCGTACAGGTCTCCGTACTCTAGGCATCGTAACCGATCGTAAAGGATGTCAAAAACCAAAATCCGCCAACGTTGATTCTTTACTGCGGCTGAAATATTCATTTTTAGAGCGTTAGTGAATTAAAAAAAGCAGTATAAAAACCGGAATGTCCAACTGATGAGGCTGAAAATTTTTTCACTTGTTATTTACAGTAAAATAAATACATTCACCAACTTTTATTAAAATAAAACCATTTAAACTGGGTGTTCGGATTTATATGTCACTTAGTATAATTGTCTTCAGTTTGCGTGCTAACTTTATAAACAGTTCATCGCATTTCAGTATGAAATATTTTTTTTATAAACTTATATATTATATAAATGTGTATACACAAGAGTATGAAGAAATATTGAAAACATATTGTTTTTCTTCGCAACAAAAGGTGATAGACACATCCGCTTTATTTTATAATGTGTATATTAACGTATGTTTTTCGAATATCGTATCGAATCTGTTCAGTTACTAACAAATACGAAATACTTGAATTTGTTTATAACAAACAAGCGTAACCCTTCGTTTTTCACATAAAAATAACAATTATCTTTCGGAATCGTTTGTGATTCATATCGGCAAGGTAAACTCGTGTATTTTGCTATAAAATGCCCTTTGGACTAACTCTGTATATCGCTCAGTAATGGCCGGAAGCTAGGTGTTTTGGGATAAACAATTAGAAATACTCAGAAACTCCTTGGCCAATCGACTACAATTTTGTTGCGGTTTTTTAGAGCCTACGGATTTGAAGAATTTCAAGCAGCTACGCGAACGGATTAGCAACAAGTGCCAAAACCTGTACTTTGCCTCCATTTGCGGCCATTACTGTTTTACTATTATTCGGATCTTTTTACGTGTGGTCTCATTCTGTAGGTCTCGTAAATACCTAAAACTTCGATTTGAAGACTTTTTCGTTCCTCCCAAAACTTTCAATTGAGCCCCAAAAACCGAGTTTTCTCATCCTTTGTGGTCGCATAAAAAGTTTTCCCACAAAAAGGGGCGTACCCGTTTTATGCTTCCATGTTTTAAATACCCCGTTGGACAACTTGCATCAATAAAACCAGACTTTACAATTATTTTGCAAGCCAGCGGTTATTTTCGTCTAATGTGATATGACTGCCATTAACATCTACTTCAAATGGATTTCTTACCCATGTTTTCTCGATATGGACATTCGGTGGACAACAACAAACTTGCTAGAACACTGAGTCGACCGCCGCCCACGCCGCGCGAATTCGCCGTGTCGCGTCCCACCACCCTCCCCCCGCATCTACTGCCACGCATGGTAGATG